ATCGAAACGAGTAAGCGTTCGGCGCTGTGATTGGCCGGCTCCAATGAACCTATCAATCAGAGGCTTTAGTACGAGTTTGTTTTACGTTTAAATAATCGTAACGAGTACGCGTTCGGCGCTGAGATTGGTTGCTTCATTGGTGCCGGCCAATCAGACCGCCGAATGCAAGTCTCGTTTTCGCTCGGTTTCATTTCGATTACTTTAATCGAAAAAGAAACTCGTACTAAGCCATGACTACAGAACGTGACCACGTGTGTTGTGTGTTTTAGAATAACAAGTTTAAGGGCCGATTTTTAAATCATCAGTTATTGCTTAACTGTAGAATAAAATTAACATTTGACAATTTTAATATGAAAGTATTGTCAAATATTCAAAGTTCGTCATCAGTTGTAATTTATATGGTGTTGTAAAAATCGGCCTTAAGTTTAACTTTAAGACAAAACTGACATTTTTACACAAAACCCTTAGGAACGTGTAGCTTTTGGCCAAAAAGACCATTGGAACTTTGGGCAGTCGTTTTCGTAAATCTGAGGTACACTTTATCCTTATAAAATGTTCGACGCGTTATTATCTGTATCCTTTTAGTATCCCCAGAAGGGGCAATGACTAATATTGGTCTCGGACCGGTATCAAAGGCCACTCAGGTAGAAAACATTGAAGGCTTACATTTTCGAATACTCATGCAAATCTACTATTTATAAAAACATAACATCACGCCTTATCCCCGAAGGGGTAGGCAGAGCCTGTACAATGTAACGGCCACTTTTCACTATTTATGTTATGAGTCCCATGTAATAGGGGGTGAGTCTATTGCCATATACCGGACACAATTTCAGACTCCGTGTTACCATTGAGATTTTTTTTTAAACCCAGTAGTAGATACTTTGACCGACCCGGGAATCGAACCCGTGACCCCTTGACCGGCTGCACTTGCGACCACTCGGTCAACGAAGCAGTATTATACAGCACTATTTATATATCCTCAATTTAATATGGACTTGCTAATCAATTGACCAGGTCAGTACTAACAAAACACGACTATTTAAAATACTTGTCAGAAAACCGTGTAACACAGTTTTTGTGTAAATAATTTCAGTTAGTTTAAATCAGTATTGTTTACCGTTTGTTTGTGCTAACCATGAAATGAGATGAAATCATCCATATTTGGTGAGTCCTAATGAGTTTCGTGTTACTTTCTAGTAAAAGGAAAGTGTGACTTTTCTTTGAACTGAAATGTTTTTCAATTTGAGTTAATAGTTGTCATTTAGCATTATCATATTTTTTTATGGGACTAGCCCGCCACAACCTCCCAAAACCGCTGCAACTCCTGTAAGCCAGGATCTACAGTAGATACAACCATAAAAACACCGGAACACTGAAGTCCGGCGCGTCCCAGGGACATGAGTAACTGTCTTGGTTACCGCAACGAAGAGAATCAGAAGATATTATAAGAGAAGAAGAAAAAAAACTATAGTTTCCACTTTCCTCGGTGAATTACTGTAGCGTTATTATATGTTTGTATTGTCGTCTTGGCAGACGGATCACTTGATAGTACATGATCAGCATCGCCTATAGACCTGTATCGTCAAAAAGGAGTTACAAGTTCGTTATCGGACTTTTTGATTCCCTTCTAACCTCACCGATAAATGTAGATATGAAATCAATGAAAAATATTGTCACACGCTAAGTTTCCCTAATAGAAATGGATTTTTACTTTTTAGGGTTTTCATATTAAAAACATTGTGCAATCATTGCTTGAATGTTTTGCATAGGCTTGACACCGTCCACGTTCGCATTTCACAATTTGTATGTTATGGCCCATATGACTCAGAATACAGGGGATCCCATTTTGAAGCAAGACTTTTCCTTGTGCATTTTGTATAGCTATTTTATTTTATTAAGCGACGTAAGTTTCTCTTTTCAACAGCAATCTAACATGGTTTATATCTAATTACAATAGTTAGCAAAATTGTATACTCTAATCCATTAAAATTAGCAAAGAAACAGTACAGGCCAAAATTCTACACTAGCGCCATCTGCGCAACGCGAAAATGTTCCAAAACCTTAATTACGAATTCTGATAGATTTGTTTTCCAGTAATAAGGATAACATTTGAAATAACAATAACTTCTATGCGTAATTTACACGTAATGTGATTAAGGTTAGTAATTTTAGCGTAGGGTTTGTTGATGGAATATTTTGTGACACAACCTATTTGCTATTAAATTCAAGAGTACCTTTAATAAGGTTAATTAGAGACTTAAAATGTAGTTAAAAAAACTATAAAATTACATGGACCTAATGTAACCTTTAAACGCGTAGGCGTATTAACTGTAGAGTTATCCTAATACAGTTTTTAATGATAATTAATACTTTAAGACCTAACATTTTGTAGGGTCAGGAAATTCATAGCAGGTGATAAAAACATTATTTTTAATTATATTTTAATGACATGTTGTGACAAATACCCCCAACAATATAAGCGCGTGTCAATTTTGTCATTATTTTAAAATTAAAATGTCATTTGCGAGCAGTAACTATCAAGTCATGTGTGAACTTATAGTACCTACTTGTAATAAAAATACCTATGGGACGGTATTTTTATTACATGAAAAAAATAATATTATTTAATGAAAAGCTAAAGATAATAGAATTCGATTTATAATGATGTATGAATGTGTGTAGCTAATGTAATCTCATTATTTCCATTACAGCAATAGCTAAAATCTCAAGTAAAATATTCACAAATTATGCATGCATAATCGCACAACAAAGAACATTTTTGCTAGCAACAAAAACCAATACCTAGACTACAAAAGCAGCACCACTACGGGTGAATGCACTTTATAGTATTCGAAACAAAAAATCGATACTCGACTCGTTCCTCACCTATCACTTAGTCGATTATGTAGTATAATAACATGGTTATCGATTCAAATCGATTTAGAAATGTCAGTAAAAAACGTCGAGACGTCTTAAATCGAGATCAGTCACTGTCATTATGACGTAATGCATAAATTAAAAGATGGAAGTGTTTAGAAGTCTGACTGGATGTAGACCTGTCTAGATTTTTGTCTAGTGACCTTTGGAAAGGCTTATGACCTGTTTCAGACATGGTTTTATTATTTTATAGATCAGAGTTACACGTGGAAGGCACGATATATATATGTATAATTATTAATACTTGCACTGCGCTGTATTGATTTTTCTCTCTCCTAAACTTGCGGATCATACTTCGTACTAATATTATAAATGCAAAAGTTTGTGTGATTGTTACTCCTTCACGCCAAAATAGCTGAAGGGATCGGGATACATTTTGGAACAGAGGTACTTTGTGATCTGGAATAACATATAGGCTATTTTTCATTCCACGGGAACCCGGGCGAAGCCGCTGGCAGAAGGTAGAATGAACATAATAATCTCAATGGTGATAGAGGAAAATATTCCTCAATGTATGAACATTTTCCTGATACTTAACAGATATGTCAATGGGGATTGTATGGGTGTAGGATGACGTTTATAGAACCTGTTTGAGTGACATAAAGGTCTTTGACATGACCTACGATCGAACCTTAGATGTAAAGTGCATAACCATAATGTGGGGAAGAATGTAGGATAAGGTTATGCATATAATTATGCAATACAAATGCATTAGTTAGATAAAAGTTGTAGGATTACTTAGCTAGCTGAAGTTATGTGTTATGTTGTATATATTTTTAATCGAATTGAGTGTTTTAATAGGTAGAGAGGATGTAGTAATTTATGGTCAATTTATATGGATATTCAGTGAAATTCTGCTAAGGGTTAGGGAAGCTAGATGAGAATTAAAGAAAGAAATAGTAACATCATGTTTAAAGTTTATTTTTGCCATCTCATTTTTTGTCTTTCTGCAACTTTTAAAGACGAAACATATCTCCTACATTAAGATATTTTAAAGATTTACAACATGCTTACGTAGCATGTCTACAGTTTCAGTATAAGATCAGCCAAAACAAAATTGACAAAGTTTACATAAGTATATCGTACAACAACCTATATGTGTACACAAATATTTTGCCGCGATACGGGAATCAGTCTTGTGACCCTGAGATCTGTGAACCATACATTGCACGACTTAAGTCGTGGTCTCATGAAAAAAAAACATTGATAACAAAAAATATGGTTGATTCCAACCGAAATAACAAGAAAACTACACATGTTGCACACTTGTGTGGATTTTTTGCACAATTTCTTCCAAAAAAATATTGACAGATTTTATGCTGGAACTCATGAACAGCAAAGTATTCACAGAAATTTACGTTCCCATTCTTCTTCTAATGACATTTAATTAGTACTTTAGTACAAGTATCAAATAATTTATTGATCGGTCCAAATGTTAACAGCAATGGACAGCCAATAAAAACCATTATCAGAGATCAGTAGCATTATAACATACAAGGTGAAAAAACCTGTTTTGAGAGCGCATAAAAACATGGGACGTACTTTCTGCCCGTCCGTACAAGGCACGACTTTGACATTTGTATTAAATTATTAATTAAGTATTACTTTACTTATTTTATTAAACTCGCGAAACATTGCAACATGGTTTTTAGAACGTAAGATGACGAAATAATCGTTAGGAAAATGTTTTTTAAGATTATCGTAAACAGGCATTTTAATTAAAGTGGGTTATCGTTAAAATGGAACAATCAGCTGTTGTTGTCTTAGTTCGACAAATTCGTTCTACTTTGGATTTAGGGCATGTATTCTTAAAGAATATTCGCATGTTAGTTAACGAAGTAACTGCACAATAGATATAATCGTTCGCTAACTTCTCGTGTTAGCATCAGACAATTAAACCAATTAACAGCTAAAGAAAAATCATCACGCCAATTGCGTAAAACCAGTGAATAAAATTCAGACCGTTTTATGTGGTTACGGACCATAAAATCAAAGTAATTTAAGTTTAAAGAGTTAGCATGTCTTCATTGTTGGCAGTAAATATTATAAGTTTGACTTACCTTTATTGTCTCCGTGCAGGGTCTTTACGGAGGGTGCGAGGCCGAAGGGGGCCTTCGGCACGATTGCTGCGCCCTTATTTTTTTCAAAGAGCGCTTTGCGTTCCCTCAATGACATTTCGGCGGGGTCCTTCGCCTTCGGGCTGCCCGTCTCGAACATCGCCGCCTTAGACAACACAGAACTCCTGTCAACACTCCCGTTTATTTTCGGAGCCAACCTTTTCACTAACGGCGACCCCATCTCCGGCGCCGGCTTGTCGTCCGCCGGTTCCGGTTTTGTTTGTTTACAATCATCACTTGCGTCATTTTCGTTGTCGAGTTGCACTGCATTCTCTTTGTCTTTTTCACTTTCACATTCATCTTCCGTGATAACATTCCGCGGCGGCGTGGGCGCTCTGTATTTCTTGATCGAAGGCTTTTTTGTAACGGCCGGGTTGGCGACGGGTGACGGGGCCACCATTGTAGCCATGTTGGGGGCTGAAGCGGCACTGGGGGTAGTCGATGCACACTTCGGCTCCTGTCGGTCGGGATCGGCGGTTTTCGTGGTGAATTCGTAGACAAGCCGCGATTGGCTGGCCGAAACTCGCCGGTAACCCTCGCCCTCCTACGATTGGACAACGGTCGCGTAACGCGAGGGGTGAGCACGTGCTTGCATATCGTTTATTGATACGGTTTATAACAGCCGCTAAGTTCGCGCGGTTAGTTTAACTGGGTTAGGTTAGCGCTAAAGGGCTCACGGTGAAGTTGCATCACGTCCGTCGGAAGGTTGCGTAAGGCGCTGAGGGTATTTAATTGTTACTATGACGCAGATAATGAAATAAATAGTTTTCGGAGTTGAATGAACGTAAGTAGCGTGTGAGTGAGGTGGCGGGGTCGTGTGTGCGCGCGTGAGTCCCGTGTGCCGAGCTTCAACTGACTGGCTGTCTGCGGAGGGCCGCCACCGCCACACGTTAGCCCAGCTGATAATTATATTTTGACGCATCGCGTTGTTTGATGCGCTTTGTGTTATTATAATTATTGAGGAAATATGTATCATTATTTCGGGTACATGTCACGGTGTATGAAATGATTTATTTTTTACCTTTGTGTACGCTTTGATAGGATCGCGTCTGGTTTGTGACGGTGATCATTAGAGCATCAATTTGACATTCGACAATGTGAGAATTCATAATTATACACAATTATTCACGTCTACGTAATATATGGCCACATCCAAAAAGTTTTTATAGATGATACAACTAATAATCAAAATATTTGTACAGACCTAGTACTGCTAACTGCACTACAAAGTACTTAAAATGCATATTTTACTACAAAAAACTCACGTAAATATATTTTAACAAAGATAACATTTATACACTTGTACTGCAGCTGTTTTGCGGAAGACCAGCCCGTAGCGGAAGAGCTAATGACACGACAATTATACAGAAATATCATCGCAACTGACAAGAAAAAAAACATAGATATATCGACATAAAAAGCCATAGAATAATTTATTTTAAAATTGCATTTAAATTGTAGTTTGTATTAAAACATTCGTTAGCTAGGTTCATTATCGTAGCAATAAAATGTTCAAACTACATTAATTATTTAAGTATCAACTTACACCTATGAAGGAATCACAATCGGATTTAATATTATAATATTGCAATCTAAATTAAACACAAATACCATCTAACAAAACTTCCACGTACTAAAATCTATGAGTTACCAGGAAAATAAGTTGAAATATAATAATTACAAGAACCATTAATGAATGAATACACGATTCATGCTAAGCAGGACAAAAAACAGTGTAAAAACTAGTAACATATAGTTAAATAAGCTATAATATTATTGTTTTATATGTCGGTCTATTTGCAGATGCAGACGTTATGCAATTTGTTTATTGAATCGATAGTGCATTCGTCTCAATAAAATGAAAGGAACATGCTACTACAAAAATATATCGATGAGGTTTACTTTCAAAGAACATGTTGCTATTTTACTAGGCCAACATAAAACATTTATGTAAAACTAGAATCGAATTACTTTAACTCTTTCAGTCTTGGTGGTCACTGTAACTAACCACCTTTTCTTAGAAATTAAATTTTTGAAGTATGCTTCAAATTACTTTACATTAGTTTTTAAGCATTTCAGTATAATTGAATAAAATATATTCGTAACCAGTTAAAAGTGTGACTGAAAGAGTGAACTTAGTCAAAAGTCATTTTCTGGTCTTATATGGTAATGGTATTCCAGCGTGCTTGTAAGAGGATTTAAAACTAATTGTTGTTCTATATAACCTTTGTAAGTAATACCAAGTATCTCAGTCTAAAATCAGAACCAGAATACGAAGGATACCATGTTCAGCAAATAAGCATCATTGCCTCTTAAACTTTGGATGTCCGGGAACACAAAAAAAAACTAGAAATTGCCCAAAAACTTTAATACGCCCCTAACTAAACTGATCAGTGCCTATTAACCAATTCCTATTACTTCCTATTACCATGTTTAGCAAATAAGCATCATTGCCTCCAGAAGTTTGAAGTCCTGTGAAAAAAAATAACTAGGAAATGCCCAAAAACATTAAATTTCATGCCCCTAACTAAACTGATCAGTGCCTATTAACCAATTCCTATTACTTAAGTTCGGGTGGCCGAAATTGTGATAGACATGCCCCTTACGGTCAATGACATTCCACTAGCTACTGTTGTTTAGTTAAATTGAGGAGGGAGACGCAGACTGTTAAACTAAGAAAATGGTTGTCTTTAAACTATTTTTAACTGATTCCAGAGAGGCATTGCTTCAACTGAGAAACTCATGGTTTAGAAAGCAGCTAGCTGTGTGACGGAACAGTCCAGATGACCAATCTTAAAGGCATTAAGATGGAAACTGTGGGTCCCAAATCGTCAGCCGAGGAAATATTAGATCTCTCTGGTTTCTCTAATCTCTCTGATCTATGCCTTTAGCCAAACGCCACTTTAGCGCTTGTCTACCTAGAGAGTAGAAAACTAAATGTATGGGAATGACACTGACAAGTGTAAAAATTTACGTCGATTCCATATAATTTGGTTTTCTACTCTACATGTAGACAAGCGCTAAATGGCATTTGGCTACAGCTGCTGATCTCCATTCTACATAGGAGAGCATGCACCAGCATATTTAAAGTAATCTAAGATCAAAGAAAAAAATAAGAATTACTTAGTCATCTTTTACGTTTTGTGAAACTGGCCTTCAACAACATTAAAAACGGCAATCTAAATATGTATTAACGAATTTGCGATCTTTTTACAGCAACTTTAAATAAAATTAGAACAAAATCAAGCCATTGAGGCTACTGTGTTACATACAAGTATGTATGACAATACATGTATTAGCAATTAAGATTTTTTGTTGTGCATAATTACAACACTTGGAGTACCTAGTACTCGTAGTTACATCATTTTGGCGTAGCAAAGTGACTAATGGTTTTATTTTATCCTTTTAGAATGAATTATAGACGATTTTTCTTCAATGATTTAATGGTCCTAAACATCGACTGCTGGATTAGAAGAGCTGTTGGGTGTCACACCAGATTCAAAATAATAATTTCTATAACAAGTAGTCCAATAAGAAGCCTAAATTTTATCTCAATGACGTTAGAAGTAAAATATCACTACTCTATGGACCTTCAAAAATTTCAACAAGTTCTCCTATCTGCAGAATGAAGTTCGATGCACCCAAGCAATCAATCTTATAAAGCTTTTATAGAAAAACTACGAGATCTGAACGAACCGGTAAATGATGCGCAAAAACGTAGTTCAACAAACTCCTATAAACCACTTGAGAAGACCCCCTTCTTCCGTATATTTTCTTTCAAGTACAGCTCTTGGTCTCTGGTCATTGTGAAGGGAAGCGATGATGTTGTAACAATGATGCAATTGTATTAAAAGTAAGTACGTATTGCGACACGAGTCGCTGCGATTAATCTATACAGGGGTGTAAAAAAAGAGTTTAATGCGTCTAAGATTTATAGCGTGTGGGCATTTTACTGTTCACGATACAATATAGATACAACACATGGCGGTGATCTGGAAACTACGATTATTTTTACTTCGTTTTACTGTGAAAGTTGGTTTTGATTGCTTGTTTAGTTTTGTGTAGCCCTGCGTTAACCTCAATCTTTAGGGTTTTTGGTAGACTAGGCAAATAAAGTTTTGGAATATAAAATCTATTTGCCTTAAATCGAGAAAAGTGTTGTTAATATTCAGAATGTAATCTATTGATTGTGGCGAAAACTATACAGTATACTTCTGTATTTTTATTGTAAGCATATTTTACGACTGCAGCAGCGCAGTCCAAACAGTGTCAGTAATATATTCTTAAACGTATCGATATTGACGTACTTTACATATTCATCCTAAAAAATATATTACGTCAAAGAACAGAAACCCCATAAATAAACCATAGGAATAAAAACAAACCACAAAGCTTGTGCTTACAAAGCGTTACTGACCAAGTCCGCAAGTTAATATTTTCTGAGAATTTATTAGTATCGAATTACCGTTCCACTGATAAGGGGCCTGTGTCTTTAGAGCTGGACCTTTAAACAGCATGTGCAGAATAAATCGGTACTTTAATTTGAAGCAGGAAGAAATATAGTGATTTTGCACCAGCTTCACTGACGGAATGACTGACAGACTATTATTTATTTTGTATTTGTTGACGTTTCAAAAGTACCAAATTATGGTTTAACTTTAAGTCACTCTCTTGGTGGTCACTGTATCTAACCACCTTTTCTTAGAAATTCAATTTTTGAAGTATGCTTCAAATTACTTTGCATTGGTTTTAAGCATTTCAGTATAATTTAATAAAATATATCCGTAACCAGTTAAAAGTGTGACTGAAAGAGTTAAATGAATTAAATGCTTTGACTTTTTTTATTATACTTTCATTTAAAGAACTCCTATTAGTGGATTAGACAGTTATGCTACTAATTGACTTTGAGATGACTGGTCGTATAATAGCTGTAGATTTTGATTTCATATTCACTGACAAACTTGGATTACGTCTGAAATTAGAAATTCCATTGATTCTTACAGTTGCATACTCAAGAAACGTGTATAGTTCCCGGCTGCCATGACAGGGTAAGTTATATTTAGGAATATGGATCTGAATATGAATATGAACATTACCGTAAAACATAGTAAAACTAAATGGGTCTTTCAAACCCAGTCATGAGGTAACACCACACAAACATACAAACAAACCCAACCCATATAACTGTTACACGGAAACGTAAACCAACGGACATGATGACATTTTAACCGTGGCAACACTGAGATGCGTATTTATATTGCGCACGAAACTCCTGCGCATAAATAGGAACAGGTAGAAGTTAGAAATAGATGGGTTTCCGTGAATTATGTAATTTGACGTTGGTTTTGAATATGTTTGTAATTTATTGGATCGTTTCGTATTTTTTTTTGTGTCAATAAGGGATAGAAAGGCTTTCATTGGCTACTACGTAACTTATTTGGAGAATATAGCAAACTCCTTTTGTATAGAGGAGCTCATACGTCAGCTGTAGATTCTCACCGGCCGTTGATAATGTTTAAAGCGATTTTATTAAAGCTTAGAATA